CGACATCATGGGACGACTAGTCGTTGCCCTTCTAGTGGGGTTGACTGTACTGTGGGCACCACGAACGAATGCTGCTGGTATGTAAACCTCCTCTTGCTCCTTCTGACACCTAACCTTGATTGAAGACGTGTGCACGGACCCGCGTCAAACGTGCGACCTCAACACGGCCTGTGCGCTGGACGCCGCCCAACTGCCCACTGGCATGAAATCGTTTTGTGCGCTCAGCACGACGGTGTCGCCTTGCAAGCAGTGCACGGGGTCTGGGCAGAACTGTTTCAACGCGCCTGAATGCCAAGGTAGTAGTCTATTACAATGATTGTCATGCTCAATAAGTTGCCCGTAGACTCGATGTTTCTGTGCAACTACCTCACGGCTGCCCAAAAAGCGGCCCTGGCTCCGGCCCACCCGTGTTTGAATGTGCCGTGCCAATTGAACACCAACAGCCCCTCGTGCACCAACTCGGTACGAGGCTATCGACATGAAAAAAGTCCTTGCTAACAACACGATAGGTGTACCAGTATTGCTGTGTCCCTGGGTCCCCCAACTGCACCAACGCTGCACCCACGCCGTGTACCCCCAGCGGGTGCAGCTCGTTCATGACGGGCACTTCCGCGACGGTCGAGTACACCAAAGTCGCGTGTCCGTTTGGCGACAGCGCGTTCACGTGCACGCACCCCGAGTGCAACAACACGTACATCTACCAAGATATTGTCAACACGTTCGCCGCCAACCAGGGGTGCTCGGGAGACCAATGCATTACAAACTATGTACGAGCCACCAATCCACCATCGATCGCCAACCATTCGTTTTGTTTACGGTCGATACTTGTGTTGTAGCTTCCGTCCGTGTGCAAACTTGGAGCGAACGTGACCAACACTTCGAGTGCCAACAAGCTCGCGTGCACCAACCGCATCGTGTCGTTTTGTGCGTCCAACCCCACCGACCCTGGTTGTGGCGCCCTGTGCCCTTATGCGTGCACGTCGCAGCCGAACTGCCCTTGTCGCAGCGACGCTTGTGCGGCCGTGTACAAGGCCCCCCTTTGCGTCCGCACGGCGGGGGCCTGCGCCTCATTCAAAGCGTCGTTGAAATCGGAACTGTTCCGCCAACGCTTTTTCCAGCCCAAGTCCGCCAACCTCGCGTACGCCAAGAACAACGCCGGCCCCCCCTCCGGTCCCTTCGTCTGGTCACAAGCGCTTACGGACGCCAAGGCTAGCTGCAACGCCATTGTGCCGCAGTTGGGAGACAACCTCGCCACGTGTGTGCAAACGTCCTTTGCCTTTTGCAACGCCAACCCTTGGCAAACTGTAAGTTGAATGGGATGTTACGAGGCACTGACACTGATGATGACTTGACTTTTACGTAGGGGTGTCAAAATGATCTGAGTACTTGTGGCGATGGGTTCGTGTCATGGATGGAGTCGTGCGACGAAGGCAATCTCACAGCGTCGGGGGGATGTGACGCCACCTGTCGCACGGCCCCTCGTTGGGAATGCTACCAGCAAGGCACGCCGTGCAAGCGGTGCATCCACGCAACAGGATACAAAGTTGACGGTGTCAACCCTGCGTCCATGTGTCCGTTTTGCTACAAT